CCAACAAAAATGTGGTTCTATTCAAAAATAATTATGGTATGATCGAATTGCTATTTATACCATTATTCAGCAAATCTCAGCTAAATATGAAATAATTTGTAGACAGCTTATCTCAAGCCATTATTTCGGGATAATTCTAGGCTTTCAGGTGGGCTACATGATTTGTATGTATTAAATATTTTGATTGAAATTAAGCCAATGATTCATAGATTATGTAGCATAGTGAATTTATCTATTTCGGATTTCTCAGAAATACCCGGAAAAATATCACTATGACTATAGGGGCGTATGAAGCTATCTTCGAGGTCCTCTCCTTCCAGACAAAAATTGAAAAAAAAATTAGTTTAAAGAGTGGCCATCACATGACAAATATGTTAGCTTAGGGATTCATTCAATGCACTTAGCATTCCCATAACATAAGACTTTAGCAGCATTTATATTTGCACCATATTCAGGTTAGTTGTTGCCTGAGGTAACAGTAATTGATCGGGGAGATAAATAAATTTAGACACTTTATCTTTTATAGATTTTTGCTAGCAAATTTTCTAGGTGTTATCACAAGTGAGATAAGTGCATAATAACTTCAATGGCGGTGCTATAAAATATATGACTTCTAAATATAATTGCGGCTTCCTTGATCAATTTGATGAATAAAAAGATTAAGATCGAGCGTTTCTCCTTGAATTGAAGGGATTTGTAATAGCAAAAAATACTTCACCCAACACTTGGGAATAGATTTCGCTAGAATGGCTTAGAGACAACTTAGATGCCTGGAAGACCATCCTAAAAGTGGATGGATAAGAACTTTCGAAGCCTTTTCTTAAGCGTGATCAAATTGGAAAGAGAAAATCTATTCAGCTGTTGTCAGAATAAAGTTCAGACCATTTTGATGATTTTTTGCCATTAGAAATACAATAGGGTTCGTACTTTAAGACATATTTAATATCTTAGAGACATTCAATGATTTTAAAGTACCTCTTTAATGTAGGCAGCAAAACTGCTCTTACACTAACGAAGGTGTTCGGTCAACCGTCCTAACTAGTAATATATATCTAAATTCTGGAGGCTACTGCTAGAAACCATCCCCTCGTAACATTTTTGTGAGCCTATTCATAGTGATTTGGACAATAACGGATAGTCATGGAGGCTGATAAAATGCAGTATTTAACCAGTTCTACAAAATGAGTGACGCCGTGTCCCATGACAAATATGGGGGCAACGAGGTGTTATCTGTAGTAGCGTTATTTTTCAGAGAATTGCAGCTAATATTCAGACCACATATGAAGTCCACCATTATCGTAATGTTTAGCTGCTGGTTGACCAAGCATGGATGTCGTATGGATTTGTTGGTGGCCTGATAAAATTGAAGCTTACGAGGAAATACACCAGACGAATTCATCGGAAATATGGAAATGGCTCTGAGAAAACTTTGGTATATCTGATAACACTTTAATTCAAGCCGAAAACCTGATGTTGGTACTTTAGACAAGCTGTTATTTGGTGGAATCTTTTTGGAGCTGTCAGCATTAGATGATGAAGTCCATCGGGGCTGCTTTTAGGCTACGTGTCCCTTTCCTTTTTTGCTAAATAGCCATCTCAACTATTGTTTGCCACCAGTGAATGCTTTGCCAAAAGACAGGACACCTGGTCCGACTTCGTTTTCGAAATTTGATCGTGTTGCCAGCTAGAGCTCTATAAGGTAGCTTTACCAGGGCACTCTGCCATAATAGTCATTGATACTTTTCAGCCTCAGGCCGTGGACTTAGTACGTCCTATAAGTCTCGTCATCATCAGAGTCAAAATCTTTATCAAGTTTTGCCAGACAAAGCAACAAGCTATTCAATAAAAGCACAATTTTGAACCAATTTAGAGAGGCGTAATCACACTCGCTGCTGCTTTCCTGTTTCCATTGGTTTTGTGCCATAACATTTGATCTGACTTGCTACTTTCAGCCTGATATACATTTATTTAGAATTTAACATTGGGCCGACCACGTGCTTCTATGAAATATGCTCTCCTTTAATTAACTTTTTGCTTTTTGATTAAGAATTAGGCATCTTCAGCTCAGATTCGATGGAATTGCCATTCATTTAAAAAAAAATTCCCTAAGCCATGACTATGTTAGTGTTATTAAAAGTGTTATTAATGTCAAGTTAAACTGGTTTCAAGGCAGGTTCTCAAGACACCTTTTCTATTGGCAGCCGCATTACAGCATCGTGACAGTCGACGCGAATTCCGACCTCCTCCGCCGTTGGCTTTCTCCAGGCTTCAGTCTCGCCGGCTCTGTCCCCATGGTCACTGGAAAAGTACCTGATAGGCAGATCAGCTGGCGCGTGGCAGAAGCCAAGGCGGGCTAGATATGGGGCTAGATGAACCTGTATCGACATGGTCTCAGAAAGGCAACCACACCGCATGATCAAGGTGATCTGGCGCAACTGGTTGAAGCAGTGTCTCCGTGAATAGGCAAGCCGGAAATAGCGGCGAGCATAGCCTCCGGAGGCGACGAAGCTTGACAAATCAAGGAAGGATACATGTTCGAAATAGTTCCCACAAGGACGAAAGACACTAGTGAGGCGCTGATGCAACTGAAAAACAGAAAGCGTCATCAAGAGTAGAACTGGAAATTAGAAATGAACAAGAATAAGTAACGAAATGATGATGACAAGTACAACGTTGGCATTGTTTTACTGTTTTTCGGGGCGACATATTTAATAGCGATCAATATATTTTATTTATTAAAACTTGAGGAACTAGACCTGCTTAATTAGCACATATCATAATAATAAAGATGTTAAGAATAAGCTGTGTGGAAGAATGAGAGACCAAGATTTCTTCCGAACGGTGCAAGAAATTTTCACACGAATCTACAAGACTCGATAGTGTCGATAAATTGGACGTCTTGAGATGTAAACTTTGGTTCGCATATACCACTATACATTAATATGAGATTTATTCACCTAATTTCGTTTAAGGTGATGAAAGACTGGTAGAAGAAGAATTTTCCCACAATGATATGAGTTTAGCTGACATTTCCATTCAATTTCACATGGCCTTGCTTTCCCAAAAGTTGTCCTCATCCAGGGTGGACTGCAGTTTCGACCTCGCATCGGTCTTATCTACACCCTCAGCGGGAGTCGAACTGCGACAGTGTAGGACGGTAGCTTGACACGCTAACCACTCGGCTACACTGCCACGAGTACCCTT